AGAGAAGAAGTAAGGCTTTTGGTCAAAGGTGGGCGGGGATAGATCTGTAACGAATCCTCTCGGCTACACCTCTTTCCTGCATGAAAGCTACTCTTCCCTGATTTCCTCCCAATGAGCTCCATTTCACCCTACATCTAATTCCCAACACCTTCCTCAGGCTGGGAGCAAGCAGTACATTCTACCCAAACATACCTGAAATGCTCAGCTGTGCTTTAAAAAAGACATGTTCCTATTTTCATTTGTTTTTTTTAAGCTAGTATGGCACATATACAGTCCCTGAGCAGCAAGTAATGCAACATTGTTTAACACTTTACTGGAATACAACGTTTAGCTTTTGCCGGAATAGAAAGCAACAAAACACAACAGGGCGTAGGCTTCAGAATGCAGCTCAGAACAAAGATTAAGCCTGTAAATGCATCTAAAAATATAGTTAGACACCCTGGAGAGTTTTACTGAAATATAAAACAGATATCTTATTTATACTGAAAAACAGAATAGGCTATGGAGTAGAAGAATAGAAATGCTGCACACCAAGATGATAAAGTACCTTGACAAAGGGGTGTGTGACACATTCATAACACTAGCCTGCACTATGCCAAGTTATATCTTGTTTTATGGAGTCCTTCCATTTCATGAGCATTCAGGGCTTCAGTCAACGCTCATTGAAGTCAATGGAAAGACTCCCATCAGTTGGCTTTGGAAAGGATCCTAAATTCACCCCGTGACCTTGTATATAATAAAAGGTGGGGGGTAGAGCGGTTAATTGTTAGCTAACACAACTAGAAATCTTACTTGGCCTCTAGTGTAGGCACAGTTTAATGTGTTTAAAACCAGGTTAGAGGATTGTGAGGTTAAACTTGTGTTTAAATTAGGTATTAAATGGTGTTTCAAATGTCCACTAACATGATTGATTTTAAATCCTTTTTCCTGGTTTAGACAAAGGATATTCAAGTGTTCAATAAAACTGAAACATTGTTTGTTTTCATTTGTCTTTTATTGGTCCTTTTAAAGAAGCATATACTCAAATAAGAAATAAATCATATGAAGGTCTATTCCACCAAATGGCAGAGAGGGTGTGGCCAACTGAGTCACGTGGTCTCACGTAATGAAGTTATATCAGAGTTGAGTCTTTATAGGCAAAAGTTGGAGATCAACTGTCTCATGAATTCACAAAGTGGAATATTATAATGTTATCATTTTTCTGCCTGAAATGGGAACTTGCATTTTAGATCCTGTACTGAATCATGTATAATGTTTAATTAATATTTCTATGCCAAACACCTTCAATATTCTTGTTTGTACAATGCCCTTATACTGTCATCTATTTAAATACATAGCATGCAATTTGGAATAAAAACATTCTATACTATCCAAATTGTAAAGGTTTGGACTCACCCCTGTAGTGCCTCCTGCTGGTCATTGGGGAATTAGCTCTTTCCAGCACAGAGCACCCTCTGAAAGCCAGTGATCCACACACTCTGGCCCCCGTATCCCTCACAGACCCTGGTGCCCCTTTCTCTGGGGTTCTGCCCCCTGGCAGTACCCCCACACTCTTCCTCTGGGTCTCCCCTTCCTGGGGAACCCCCAACCCACTATCCCCACCTTGCCTCAGTCTGGGCTACTGCCAGTCATCACCAAGCCCCTGCTTCCTGGGGCAGACTGCAGTGTAAAGGCCACTCATCATAGGCAAGGGGGTTCAGACCTGTTGCCTTCCTCTGCCTCCAAGTACTTCTATGGGCCTTGGACCAGGCCTTACAGCCTGGGGAGTTGCCAGCCTGTTCCTTCCCCAGCACTGCACCACCCTCAGTACCCTGTCAGGCAGGTAAGCCCTACTCTCTCCCAGCCTGGAGAGAGACTCCTTGGGCCTCTGGCTCACAGCCTTTTTAAACAGGCCTACTCGGGCCTGATGGGGCATGGCCCAGCTGCGGCTGCTTCCCCAATCAGCCATCCCCAGCCACAGCCCTCTCCAGGGCTGCTTTTAACCCCCTTCTATTTTAGGAGTGGGGTATCCACCCCGCTACACAAATTAACTATTTTTATTTATTTATTTTTTTAAGTGGTGCAGTCCTGTAGAGGAGAAAGAGAAACAGAAATAAAAGTTTCTGCATATAACTGACACGTTTTACAAAATAACTTTTTAGATCACTAAAGAAAACAGGAGAATGGTTTTACTATTTTCTGCTATCTGTTGTGAACTATTTTTCATAGTAAAAAGATATATTCAATGAAACCCATAAAACATTTCATTTTAACAGACTTTTAAAATGCAAAAGTTTCATTTTTCTAGTAGCAATGCCAATAGGGAGTTTCAGAACATTCTTTCATTCATGGGTCATTAATGCACTTCTTGGGCTGTGTAGTCACTCAGCCTTTAGCCCCAGAAAGCACCCAAGGAATACATTAATGGCCATTAATGCATGCCCTGGAGTGGCCTCTTGATTAGCTAATGGGAAATAAGTCTTTAGAATTTCTGCAGCTCCACAAACATAGCTTAATAGAGTAAAACTCTTTGTAACATTTGTTAAGTGTTATGATACAACTAAAGCAAACATTCTTTTCTGTTCAAGGCTGGTTGCCTACTTCCCAAGATGAGAGAATGCCCACTAGTTTCTCACCTATTTCCATGCAGAGTAAAGGAGGAGAAGAGGAGATGCTGTGGAAGGTGAAGAATAACTCCATCATATGCCCATGTGCTGTAAGAACCCCAGATGTGGTTCTCAGGCCCCAGTTCACCAAAGTACTTAAGCACATGCTTAATTTAAGCATGTACTGGGACTTAACCAGGTGCTTAAGTGCTTTGCTGACCTGGGGCCTTGCAACATGCTCCTATTACAATATGCACATGCTGGCTTTTCAAACGAGAGGAAAGCAGACCTGGGATACCATCTCCAGTCTGCTAGTAGGAGAGGGCAGTCACAGAACGAGGTTGGCTCATCCTCATTTCCTACAGGAGTGAGAAGGAGTTATAGGAGAGCCATACCCTCTGAGTCTTTTCTTCACTCCTCAGCAGTGAGCACAGCTCTTTTTCTTTCATCCACCGGGTGCAGGCTCCTCTCCATACCTCCCTCATCAGGGAAGCATCATCATAGAGCAGGGGTCGGCAACCTTTCAGAAGTGGTGTGCCAAGTCTTCATTTATTCACTCTAATTTAAGGTTTTGCATGCCAATAATACATTTTAACGTTTTTAGAAGGTCTTTTTCCATAAGTCCTTAATATATAACTAAACTATTGTTGTATGTAAAGTAAATAAGATTTTTTAAATGTTTAAGAAGCTTCATTTAAAATTAAATTAAAATACAGAGGCCCCGGACTGGTGGCCAGGACCTGGGCAGTGTGAGTACCACTGAAAATCAGCTCACGTACCGCCTTTGGCACACATACCATAGGTTGCCTACCCCTGTCATAGAATTAGGTCTTCTTCATATTGCCCCATAGCCCCAAGCCTTCTCTTCTGCTTCCTTTGCTTACTCTGAATTGGTGCGGGGGAAGGGTGCCACAGCCATTCTGCATTCCAAGAGGTCGAGAATAGCAGCTTACTACAGAATGACATTTCACCACAGCTAGAGTGAAGTTTACTTTAATGCCTTGTCTACATTACAAAATAAACCACATTTAAAACAGTTGTTAAAATGGCTTAGCCTAGGATGCAGGGGTCACTACCTTGGCTATTGTACAGTGCAAACATTCTGAACAAAGATACTCACAGGTCACATTCACTGGGGGATTCACAACAGAATTCCGCTGGCAATGCCCACGTTTGAACTGGGTTATAGTGAGCACAGCTATGCCATCTTTGAATACAGGGCTGTAGGAGGCCCACAGGATAACAAATAAGTATTTGCTTTTGTGCAATTCAGGGGAAGAAAATTCAGGGCTTGGGTCTCATTTATTTCATTCCTGCACTTGGGGATGAGAGAAAAGGAGTGAGGGCAAAGGTCGTTTAATGCTTTTAGCCACCTTTGCACTCCCTACATTCTCCCTCTATTTGCCATGTAAGCAAGACCAGCCTTGGGGCTGCTCTCTCTGACACTCTGTTTTTCATGGCCTCTGGGAAGCAGAGAATTGCTGCAGTGTAGTACACTCCAGCCATACTAGCGACCCATCTCGTGTGCCATGGTTGAGAGTGGGGCCATCTAGGAACTTTACATCCTTTCTACAATAGCCAGGCAGGCCATTTGACTAGGGGCTATTTCTGACCACTTTACCCAGACTAAATGGCATAAAGGGGACATAATATAACTGAGAATTGGATGCTACCTCAGTTTCTTTATTTCAAACCTTAGAAGTATATATGCATGTTCCTCTGCATGTGTGTTATACATATCTGTGTGTGTATACACATGTGTGTATGTGTGTGCACACACTAGTGTAACCTCCTTGTTCAGCCTCAGGGCTCCCAAAGTCTCATCTATTGGAAAGTTCTCTGTTTTGGGTTTTGAGACTCTCACTCTTCTCATCTGTCAAATCCAACTCCCACCCAGCTTTCCCTTACAATTTATAGAAAGACTGACACACAAGAAACTGTCCTCATTTTTCCTGCTTCACCCCAATATAAACACACCGGGTTAAATCCTTACCCCACTTAAACTAGTGGGAGATTTGCCATTTACTTCAGTGGAGACAGGATTTCACCCACCGTAGGTATCCATATCAAAGCCATTCCAACAGTCATTGCTAATGAATGTTTAGTGGTTCCTGGATGCAGAATATTTTGGTTAAATCACCTGCCTGGGTAATTCAGAAATTGTCTGGATCCCAAGTAAGCATTTTCTCAAGACAGAAAAGAAAAACATCTATTTGTCTCTAGTTCCTATGGTCAGGCAGGCTTCCTGTCACAGACTCATGAGAGGTAATTAAGAGGAGGAAACAGAACAATATTGTATTTATTATGGTGGATTTATTAGTTATTTATTAATTTATTATGAATTATTATTTATAATAATTTATTATTATAAATAAAGGTGGAACTAAAAAGAGGAGAGAAGACAAGTGTCACTACCTCTGCTTCTTGTAGGATCCCATGGTTCAAGCATACCATGTCTGGACAAGTGATGGGAGAACCACAGCCTTCTCGAATTGCCAGCTGCATATACTGCTTTAGGCACTAGAAAGGAGAAAAGAAAAAAAATGATGGAAAGTTGCAACCCACACAATAGGGAAACGTAGATGTTAACACTGCACTACACAGGTGCCACCTCCACTTCCTTAATTGGCTGTCCTAGAGCACTAGGGAAAACATAAATTATCATACGTGTGGATGCTAAGAACCATTACTTTGGGAAGAATGCAGCAAAGAACAATTAATTATGTATGACTTCATCCATCACATATTGAGTTTACTCAAGTCAGCAAGTCAAGGCCTGTGCTAATACATTTTCTCTATATTAAGCCTAGACTTGGAAAAGAACAGGCTATATTTCACTCTAATTAAAACAGGTTTTGCTCTTCTATTTTCCCTTCATGTTTTCTTAATTCAGTCTCTCACCTGGTGGCCACCATTATAGGGCCTCACTTACAAGCAGGAGAGTTGCTTTCTCAGCAATCTGCAATGAAGGCAGCTTATAGATTGGCTAGCAGAGCACGGATCTGGAAACAGTGAGGCTATCAACTTTCCTCCAAATAGATTGTGTCATTTCCATGAATTGCCATCAACCACTGGCCTACTGAGCAAGTGTTCAAAGTCCATTTCCAACAGAGAGGCCCTCCTGCATGTGTCCACATCACTTCACTGCACAAAAATAATTGTGTAGTATTTTTTCTTGGGATGAGAAAAAGCAGATCCCCAATGTTTCGTCCCCATTATGACACATCCAATTTGGATTTTAAGGGCCCTATTCTCCAGCCCGTTACACTAGTTTTATGCCCATGCAACTGCACTGAAGTCAAAGAATTTAAAGCAGTATGAAACTGGTGTAACAGAGGTTTCTAATTCTAAAATACACAGGAAGTAGTGAACCCAAAGGGTCCTGTGAAAAAAAATATTGACCAATATTCCAGGTAAAAGTGATGTAACAATGTATACTGCAAAATGATGTAATTCAACTCTACCGTGCATGCCAGCAAAATGTACACCTGCCAAATCCTTGTGGTCACTTAAACAGTTTATTTTAAAGGAAAATGAATATATCTTCCACCAAATGGCATGGCATTTAAAATAACATCTGATTTCCAATAAGATGTTTATTTTTTAAAAAAAATTGTATTTAAAGGGAGATCATCAGGTAATTTATTACCAAAATTTAGGGATTTAATTTTTTAAGAGTTTCAAAAGCCTAATTTTAAAACCAACAGGTTAAACTATAAGCCCTGCCACATGCCCCTGCAGGAGTGTAATAAGGTATAAGGAGCCCCTTTAAGTCCCTGCGTGGACTCCCTGCATTTCCAGCGCCTGTAGGGTAGGCCACCACTGGACTGTTATTCCCCCACCCATCAGGTGGGAGTCTTGGCTCTGCCCCTCCAATGCTCTGGTAAGCACAGCTGAGCTGGCACAGATGATGAAGTAATCTGTGCCAGCAATAGGTTGCCCCCGATCAAAGGGAAAGAAGGGACTAGATGTGACCCTGGGGGAGACACTCTGGTTTTGCCTTGCTCCCGGGTTTCAGTCCAGCCCCATATGTTTATGACTTACGTTTTAAATTTCAATCAACTTTTATTTGTTTACATTTAAACAGTTCCCTACATGAGAACTAGAAAGTGATACTAGTAGATATAAGAATAGAACTGGCCAGTCTATTTTCACATTCCAAGATGAGCAAAGGGCAAAAAGTAAATAAGCAGTATAACTATTCTAACAATTTTAATAACTTCAGGTGTTATTAGTAACACAAGGAATTTAGTGAAACTTAACCAGATGCTGTCCCTTTATTCATTCAAACAATGTAGTTAATGCTCCTTTCCAAAAGGAACCTAGAAACAACACGAGAAAGAGTCAGTAATTGAAACATAAAGTGGGTTTAATGGCCTAGCTACAAAAGACACCTCCCATCTGCATAGAAAAGTAAATGGAAACAGAGGAAGTAACATAGTCATGATTGATCCCAACAGGAAATGCTCTACTCCAAAGTCTGCCCCCAAAAATCCACATGCAATGGAGTGGAGGAAGGCTGCATAGCTCATAAGGGTAGGACAGCCCAGCAATAGGTGCCAACTCCGTGAGTGCTCCAGCCCTGGAGCACCCATGGAAAAAAATTAGAGTGTGCTTAGCATCCACCTGCAGCCAGTTCCTCCCCTCTCCCTCCCTCAGCACCTCTCACCCACCAGAGGCCCCACCAATCTCCCCCGCCCCGCAGCGCCTCCTACCTGCCACGGATTAGCTGTTCCACAGTATGCAGGAGGGGCTGAGGCGGAAGGGGAGGAGCGGGGATGGGGTGTGCTCAGGGGAGGGGCAGGAACTGGGCTGGAAGAGGCGGGTCAGGGTGGGGCCTTGGGGGAAGAGGTGGAGTTGGGTGTGGTCTGGGGTTGAGCAGGAGCTGAGCACTCCTGGGGAAAGGAAGATGGTGGTGCCTGTGGGCCCAACACATGCTCCCTGCATCCTGCTCCCATTGTTCAGAGCCCACCGTACCCTTTGGGGAGTGTAGATTTTCCTCCTCAGTGTGTCTCTCAGTTAGTGTTGGAGAACAATCCTTTTCTTTGACTGCAACCCCGGCTCCTGTCCCTTTTGGGATGGGTGACTATGTTTAGTAATTTACTTTGACAGTAGGATACAGTAGACTCAGATTCTAAGATCAGTTCAGGCCACCCCATTAAAGAGCGAGGACAAAGGCTAAGAAGTTACTGCAGGACTTATGGAAGCCCAAAGGCTTTTTCTTACTTTACCCTGCTAGGGCAGTTGACCTCAGCACTAACAATTATTTTCCTGTGGAAGAATGTGCGTGCAGCTTTAGGAATACACCTTCAAGGGACTAGATGGCTCAAAAGCTTGATACCATAATATGAAACCTTTCTCCTCTAGTTTGCTGGTTCAAATCCAGATCAGGTTAACAAAGGCTAGTGTGTCCTTTATGTTGTAGTTTCACAGACTGAGTTCAACAAGCTTTGGATCAGAAGCCAGTAGCTGAGGATCTCAAAAGTACTTTACAAACAACAGCCCTGTGACATAAATTTTACAAACATTAAATCTTTTACATATTACAGAACTGACGCTGAGGGACTATGGGCCCAATTCAGTCAGGTGCTGAGGAGAGCTGAAGGTGCTGAGTGCTACCCAGGTGACACACAGCACATTCCAGGACAAAGCCTTAAGTGACTTGCCTAAAGATCACACATCAGTCTGTCTGGGAACCAGGAATAGAACCTCACCTCTCCTCTTCCCAAAATTAGCAGTAAAGAAATTAAAAAAAAAAAAAAGTACTGTAGCTTTTAGCACAGCAGAACTGCTTTAAGCTTTTATTATTATTATTTATTTAAAAACACAGACACTAATTTAGTTTAATTATAAAGTAGCTGAAAATGAAGCACTGATGCAAGCCGTGACTGTGGTGAAGACAGGGCAAAGAGAATTATAAATTTATACAGTAAAATTCTTATTTGCATTTGCAGCATCATACAAACATTTCCACACCCCAGAAACACATCAAAAGTTGACAAAAGCATTGAAAAATTGCACTTTTTGCTTAGACATACACCACAGTAATGAAAATCTATTGATACATACAATTTCCTGTGTACAGAAACTATGACCCAGATTTTCAGTAGTGGGAAGTGGGCACCCAACCCCTTTTGAAAATTAGAACCCTTTAAGGCATCTTACACAGAGAAAGAGTGCGTGCAAGTAAATACAGTTCTTTAAAGATAGGATCATTTCAGAAACACAGGAAACAGTGGTTAGAGATGTGCACATGACATGTAGGCAAGAGTTCTGGGTTGTATTCATGGCTCTGCCACTTTCTCCCTGTGTGTGACATTAGCAAGTCACAAAGCATGTTTACCTTCTAGTCTAAAAGTAACTGCCTAAGAATAGTATTGTTTCTCAGCAAGAGACAATTTAATGAAAAAATGTGAACTGCCAGACCTGCAAATTCACCCTGGTCAAGTTGTGTTCTTCCTGGCTTGCATATTACCAACAGGAAATGGAATTTAGACGTGTATGTTCATGGTACATGAGCCAGAATAAAATCTTGTTCCTTCTCCCATAATTTTGCAGTGGTGACAGAAATAAGATAAATTTTAAGAGTGGGATTATTCAAAGAATTCGCTGCTAACGTAACTGCTCCGACTGAAGTCAATGGAACTTCCATTAACTTCAGTGGAAACAGAGTTAGGCCAATGCTGAGTGCTTTGGAAAAATCTTACCCAAAAAAGAAAGGGGAAAAATATTTTCTCATTAAAGCAAGTAGCTATGGCTCAAAACACACATAGATACCAAGCAAATTTATTGAGCAAGATGTGCCATTTTTGCAGAGCCACTCTTCTGCCCATAAATGCATTTCAGCCTGTCATTCCCTCAGATTTCTTATCTACAAAATGGGGATAATAAATATTTACCTACCTCCCAGGATGTTGTGAGGCTTAATTAGTTAAAGTTTATAAGAATGCTTTGATGAAATATATTGTTTTATGTACATATATACAGAGAGAGAGAGAGAGATTATATTACGATATATATGTTGTGACAAAGTTCCTCCTCTACCTTGATGAGTCTTGCGCTTATTGGCGGATTTGCTCGCCTTGGAGATTCACGGCAGCCGTCAGTTTGGCCGTTTTCGTGAACCCACAGTCCAGGTCAACTTCTCCTGTGTCTGACCAGGAGTTGGGAGGTTTGGGGGGAACCCGGGCCCGCCCTCTACTCCGGGTTCCAGCCCAGGGCCCTGTGGAATGCAGCTGTCTAGAGTGCCTCCTGGAACAGCTGTGCGACGGCTACAACTCCCTGGGTTACTTCCCCATGGCCTCCTCCCAACACCTTCTTTATCCTCACCATAGGACCTTCCTCCTGGTGTCTGATAATGCTTGTACTCCTCAGTCCTCCAACAGTACGCTTTCTCACTCTCAGCTCCTAGTGCCTCTTGCTCCCTGCTCCTCACACACGCACCACAAACTGAAGTGAGCTCCTTTTTAAACCCAGGTACCCTGATTAGCCTGCCTTCATTGATTCTAGCAGCTTCTTGA